AAGGCATCTTCCACATGCTAATCAACTGTTCTAGTGAAAAACACCTTCGATTTAACAAGGGTGTGCTGCACCACCACGGAGATTACCAGCTTTGTGGGGACACAATATTAATGCACATGAGACAATTAGGGGACACTGCCAGACAATACATAATCAACTACCCAAAGTTCACACAGAAAAGAAAAATGCTTACTTCTCTGGTCGTATTAAAAATCACACTGGAACAACTTTTTAAATTTCCCTCTCATACTCTTATTTCTAAGTCATTTTAAGGGCCTCTAAAACTCTCAAGCCAAGTGTTTATGGTGAGGTGGAAAGAACATTAACTGATAATTAGCACATTTATATTCTAAATTTGGCTCTTCTATTTGTATGATCTTCAACTTCTGAGGCAGTGTCTCTATGGAAGTAGATTGCCCCATCTTCCTTCCAAGGAGTGGCTGGTGGGTTTGAACCATCAGCCTTCTGGTTAGCAGTCAAATACCTTAGGCACTATGCCACCAGAGCTCCTTTCCTGTTTTTGAGTCTGTAAAATTAGGGATTGAACTTGATGGTCTCTAAGGTCCCTTCTGACCCCTACTTAGCAGCCTGAGATTCATAAAGCTGAGGAGTCCATCCTTGAAATTCTACTTGAAGTTCCTGAGTGCTCTGTCCTTCCTTGTCTTTGGGATGATAGCACTAAGGGCCAAGGAGTAGGGCTCGTTGGTGAGAAGACTTCTCTGCATCTTGTTCTGGTTCCAATGCTCCTAGAAGGCTGAGTGTCCACTCCTAGGTGAGGCTGATGGTCATAGATGGCAAAACAACAAACGCCAACCCAAACCAGTTGCCATCCAGTTGATTCTGACTCATGGTGACCCCATGTGTGCAGAGTGGAGCTGCTCCATAGGGTTTTCATGGTTGTGTCCTTTTGGAAGCAGACCAGGCCTCTCTTCTGCAGCACCTCCAGGTGTGTTTGAACTGCCAGTCTTTTGTTAGCAGTGGAGCACACCACCCAGGGACTCCATCATAGATGGGCCAGGAAAACTAGAAACCAAACTCACAGCCATCTAGTTGATTCTGACCCATAGCCACCCCTGAATGGGTTTCTGAGGCAGTACAACTTTACTGGAAGCAGATTTCCCCAACTGCTTTCTGTAGAGCAGCTGGTAGGTTTGAACCACCAACATTTTGGATAGTAGTCTAATGCCTTAGGCACTGTGCCACCAGACCTCCTTTCATAGATGGGGAGAGGATGTGATTTCTAGGATTAATGGCTGTGCTCTGCTTTACCAAAGATACTCACAACCTGTCCGGTTGGTGGTCATATTAGACTTGTTGGTTCTTTGGTGAATACTCCATGATTTGTCAACGGAGATTGCAGTGGGAAGGTGCTCATAAAAAGTTTCCAATCTGTGACTCCCTCCCTTCTCTCAGAGGGCTCCAAGGTACCTATCACCTCCTCAGCTCAGAGCCCTCTGTATTGTGTTGTTATGTGCCATCAAGTCATCTCCGACTCATAGTGACCCCTCCTTGGGTTTCCAAGGCAGTATCTCTATGGAAGTAGATTGCCCGATCTTCCTTCTAAGGAGTGGCTGGTGGGTTTGAACTGCCAGCCTTCTGGTTAGCAGTCAAGTGCCTTAGGCACTGTTGTTGTTATTTGCCGAGTTGGCCAAGTTGGCCCTGACTCATAGTGACCCCTCCTTGGGTTTCCGAGGCAGTATCACTACGGAAGTAGGATTGCCCAACCTTCCTTCCGAGGAGTGGCTGGTGGGTTTGAACTGCCAGCCTTCTGGTTAGCAGTCAAGTGCCTTAGGCACTAGGCCACCAGAACTCCCAGTCTGGGCTTGAGCCTGGAGTTCTTCCTATTGCTGGTATTGACTCTTACCACCAGAGGGCACTCTTACAGTGTAGAAACCAGCAGTCTCTGGCTTTGGGGAGTCCCATCTTTGCCAGAACATCTGGACTTGTTGAAGTCAGCCTGTGTTTCTCTATTTGCCACTTAAGTGATTTTAAACTGGGGTTGATTTTTGCCCCACAGGGGCACATTTGGCAATGTCCAGAGACATTTTTGGTTGTTAACAACTGAGTGGAAGAAGGTACTGGTATCTAGGTGATAGAGGCCAGGGATGCTGCTAAACATCCTGGTATGTGTATAGGAGCTCTGGTAGTGTACTGCCTAAGGCATTTGACTGCTAACCAGAAGGCTGGTGGTTCAAACCCACCAGCCACTCCTCGGAAGGAAGGTTGGGCAATCTACCTCTGTAGTGATACCGCCTCAGAAACCCAAAGAGGAGCCACTATGAGTCAGATCCAACTCCATGGCAGTGAGTTTGGTTATACACAGGATCACATCCCTTAGCAAGGAATTAATCCAGCCAAGTTGAAATACTCTGCTCTAATTGAATCTGTTGCCTAAAATCCACAGTGCACTACCAGGATGTTTAAATCCTCTGGGGCTGAGCTCTCAGTCTCTCCGCAAACCTTCTTCAAAGGGAGATTCAGAATAATGACCTCAAAGCAGTTTTCACTACCTGAAAAGTGGGTTCCACTGAAGAGGGGGTAGGGCCAGGCAGAGAGCACATGAGGGTCCCCATAACAGAAAAAACCCTGTCCCTGGGACTGCTCTCTCTGAACAGGGCCCCAGCCCTATGACAACATAATCCAGTTCCTTGGGCTGCAGCAGACAACACTAGCTCTTTGTCTCCCCAAACTGGGCAGGAAGATGGGAAAGTCCTGGGGGATGGGCCTTTAGTTTTGGGAGCAAGCGAAAAGCGTCTCTCACTGTAGCTCCTGGTATCCCCTGGGAGAGAGACTGTGGGGTCCCTTTTTCTTGGCATCTGGGGTAGTGGAGGGAGAGAGAGACACTCATAGATCTTTCTCCTGATCTAAGTCAGCTTGGAAAGCTTGTAAGCTTGGAAATCTATGGGCTGGGGTCCCTGCCAATCTCAACCTGTCTGTGGGGTGAAGGCCTAACCTTGCCCCACTCTAGGTCTTTTCTTCCCCTTCCAGTTGTGAGAACAGTGCATCTGCTATGAAGAGGCTGCAGAAAGCAAAATGCCTGGGGATCCACGAAGAGGTGGATGCCTATACCTAATTCTTTGCGAGAGACAAGGACAAACAATGGGCAGTGGGCAAAGGATCCCTCTATGGCTCCTTAGATTTTTTTTCCCCTTAGTTCTTGATGAACAGCATAGGAAGGAGGTGGAGACAAATTCCATACCCAGTATTCATGGCCTAGGGATTTCTTATTAGTTGCCATCAAATTTATTTGGGCTCATAATATAGGTCAACCTCCTTGGTTCTCAGAGCAGCCCTCTCTGTTGGCATTTCCTTGGTTGAGCAAAAGACTCTCCCTTTTAGTGCTCACCCACTCCCCTAAGCACCCAATGCTTCAAATCTGCCCTCCTTGTCATTCTTAGACATGGAAGTAGAGGAAGAGGACCCCTGCTAATGACCTCCTTCCTCACCTCCCACCTCTTCAAGTTCTGCTTAGCCATCCTCCACGGGGACCTGAGCATCATTCTGTGCAGATGTCTGCTTTGCTCACAAAGTCTTCCCTGGATGCTGATGTCCCATCTCCTCCTGGTTGCTTCTATGCCACCCCCTGCTATATATAGCCTTTCTCTCTGGCAGCTGATGACAGGAGAAGGGAGGAGACTGGCTGCCTTGATTTCCAGCTCTGCTCCAGACCTCAGGCCCTCCCCTGGTCCCCTGGCCCCTTTTCTGTGAGAAATCATAGGTCCTGTTTCACTTCAGCCCAGAGCAGAGGACAGGAAGAGCCAGTAGGGGCTGGGCCCACTGGAGGCAGGCAGTCAGCTGAGAGGGCAGTTTGCCAAGGACATTTTATTCAAGGTCTGCGGTGGAGTACTATCAAGAGAAGAGGCCAGTCCCTCCTTCCCACCTGTCTGGGCTGGGGAAAGTGGAGGTGGGAAGAAATGCCTGCATGGGACAGGAACTCCCAGGATCAAAGAAATCAGAAGCACACAGGAAGCACACGGAGGAAGTAGGGGAGAGAGGGAGACCAGAGACCCTAGGACATGGGCCTGGAGAGGAAAGGAAGTTGTCCTGAGACTCAGGAGCAAATCAGGTCCTGGTCCCTCACTAACCTAGAACCTTAATTTCTCTCCTGAGGTGTTTGTGGTGAGCAGTTATAGAAGATGTCAAATGATGGAAACTTGACTCTCCTCCCCTCAAAAACAAACAAACAAACAAAAAAAAGGATTAAGAACATCTTTGTGAACCACAGCCTCTTCTAGCCTGAGACCAGAAGAACTAGATGGTACCCAGCTACCACTACCGATCATTCTGACCAGGAACACAATAGAAAGTCCTTGTTAGAATGGGAGAAAAATGTAGAATAAATCTCAAATTCATAAAAAAGAGCAGACTTATTGGGCTGATAGAGACTAGAAGAAGCCCCAAGACTATCACCCTAAGATACCCTTTTAACCTGGAACTGAAGACATTCCTGGAAGTCACATTTCAGCCAAATAATAGATGGCCTGTAAAATAAACAATAACACACATGAGGAATGTGTTTCTTTAAACAACAGACTGTACAAGACCAAATGGTCAACATTTACCCAAAAGCAAAGATGAGAAGGCAAGGAGGAGCAGGGAAACTGGATGGATGGCAAGGGGTTAGGCAGGGTGGAAATGGAGAGCATGCAGGGCTGTAACCAATGTCACAGAACAACTTGTGGATGACTTGTTAAATGGAGATCTAATTTGCTGTGTAAACTTTCGCTTAAAACAAAATGTTAAAAAAAAAAAAAAAAAAAAAACATAATCTGATTGGCAATTTTGGAGGGGGGGGCACCTTGCTTAAATTTTCCCTATCCCCACATATTCTCCTCCCCGCCATTGCCTTCGCTTTGGCTCCAACTCTACTGCTTTAAATCCTCCTGCAGTGGAAGCCCATTTTCCGCCAGGGATTGGGCTGGAAAGTGCAAAGCCAGAGGGAGGTGGGCAAGAGAAGAGATGGAGTTAGGCCCCTCCCCCCTTCACATCTCTTTTCCCAATTAAGGAGGATCCAAGGGCCACACTGCTTTGAAAATCTCCAGATTGGGGGATGTAGGGCTTTCCTCCCCAATTTTGAGTCCATGGGCCTCTGGGGAGAGGCTCTCCCTCAGATCCATGGCCCCTTTTGTCCCCATGAGGGGATCAAGCTTTTCCCCTAGCCCTTCGGGCCTCAGGGACAGGAGCCGAAGCCTCTCGCCAGCCCCTTGTCCCAGCCCTGCCACCAGGGGGAGCCCTGGAAAATGCCGGGTCCCTGGGGGGCAACTGGGGCCTGGGAGCAGGATGTCTGGCTTGGAGGACCCCAGAAGTTGCTGCTCTGTGGTGGGGGGAGGGGGCAAGAAGGGCCTTGAGAGGCGAGTCCAGTCGGAAGGGAGAAGAGGCGGCAGGGGAGGGGTGAAGGAGACAAAACCGGGCAGCTCATCTGGGAGGTTCCTGAAATGGCAGCAGGAACCCAGCCGGCAGGGGGCTGGGGCAGAGCCAAGCCCTAGAGAAAGAGAGAAAGACAGGGTCAAAGGGAGCAGCCCCACCTTTCTGAGACACCCCTTTCTCCTCTCATAACCCTTTTGTCTCTTGCTTGAAACTCTCTCTCCCTCTCACCATCCCCTTTCTTTTTTTCTTAGCTCCAGGTCTCATAGTAAATGCCATTTTTGAGGGAAGTTCAGGTGAGAACCTCTCCTTATCAGCTCTTATCATGTCCTGCGCGTCTCCACCAGGGCACTTAGCTCAGTTAGAGTTATATAGTCATTTGTAGGATCATTTAATGTGTGTGTCCCCAACTCTGTGAGGGCAGGAACTGTGCTTGTTTTATTCAACCCCCTGTCTTCAGCACCCAACCTAGTCTAGTGCATATTAAGTACTCAGTACAAATGGGTTGAATGAATAAATGAAGATACTCTTTGCTGTGACTCAGTGAATCCATTCTTCACTCTTAAAGCTGTGCAGCAAAGGGCTCTGGTGCTAGCTGGACAAACAACTGGCTGTGTGGCCTTGGGCTTGTCCTTTAAATGCTCAGACCTCAGTTTCTTCACCAATAAAGCCACCTTTCCTACTCCTGGAGTCCCTGGATGGTGCAAACGATTAACGTGTCCAGCCGCTAACTGAAAGGCTGAAGGCTTGAGTCCACCCAGAGGTGCCTTGGTGGAAAGCCTTGGTACTCATGAAGAGTCAGCCATTGGAAACCCTGTGGAGCACAGTTCTACTCTTACACACATGGGGTCACCATGAGTCGGAATGACTCGACAGCAACCGGTAAACCTAAGATTCAATGACATAACTAGTCCAAAGGAGCCTGGAGAGCTAAAATCTGTGGATATGAGGTCTAGGGTGGGTGTGGAGTGAGCCTCAGTCTGCCTCTTCTCTCTCTGGTTCATAGCTCTCTTCTCCCAAGAGGCCTCCTAACTCCTATTCTTTCCAAATCTATCCTATTCTATTCTCTGCACCCCTACCCCATCTCTGGGATCCTACAATAGGGACAAGCAGCTGAGGTCCCTAAAGACGACTGTTTAGATTTTCACACCATTTTCTGTATTTCAAAAAGCTTAGTCCCAGTTCCCTACGTTTTCTTAGCAAGGTCACATTATTCAACTAAAAGAGCAAGATCTTGACATTCGACAGGAAAATATCAGCCCAATGTGGTCACGTTGGTGGGTCTAAAGTTCATAAAAACTGGAAAAACAAATTAGTTATTTCTTTATACGTTGGCTTTTTGATAGGAAAAGCATTTCTGAAGTTAGAGCTAGGAAAGGAGAAAATTATCTATGAAGGGAGAGATTAGTAAGAATGATTCTCCATGAGGAAAGGAGTAGAGACCCCTGCCATATGCAGTGTACCCTCTCTCTTGGTCATTGCTCTTTGCCTTGAGTTCTTAAGTGAGGTGGAGTCAGTGCTGTAACCCCTGCCCCCCCCACACACAAAGTAGAGGTGCCTGTGGGCAGGGACGTTGTGTGTCCTCCCTCAGCCCCAGGGCTCCTGAGGTGAGGGTTGTGTCTCCTCTGGAGAGTGCAGCCCAGCAGGCCTGTGGAGGAGATATTTCTAAAAGTCCTTCTTTCTCACCCTTTCCCGACACCAGCCCTGCAACTTCCTGGCTCTGGCTCCATAGTCCAGGCCCCTGGGCACTCTTCTGCTTGGAAGCAGCTTCCTTTCTTGGCACCAAATGTTCTGAGTGAGGGTGGAGGTGAGGGGTGGCTGGCATAGCCTTCTGGAATCTCATACCAGAAGTAGGGCATGTTGTTGCTACTAACCTCCCGATAACCTACACCCACTTAATGTCCCTCAGGGCCCAGGCATAGGCAGGGCATATAGGTGCACCTGCAGAGGGCAGAGGTGCAGAATAGCCACTGGAAACTGGGGTTCAGGAGGGAACACATTTTTTCTCTCTCACAATTTCCCAAAGAGAGAAGCTTTGTGTCCAAGGCACTCCCAGAGCTGGGAGAGGGTGAGTGGGGGTGGAAGAACAGGGAGGGCTGTTCAGGTGCTGTTTAGCTCCAGGCTGCCAGACTGGTAGCTGTACAAGTTCCAGCAGGCCCTGGGCCACCCCATGCACACTGCCTCGGCTGCACTTACAGGGATCCAGGAGCCAGGCACCATGCATTCTCTGGCAGGGTCTGGGCCAAAGCTATACTGGGACTGGGACTAAGGTTCTTATTCCATGAAATTGCCTGATGTGAGGGGTAGGTCTTAGGCCTCTGAAGAAGAGTTTGTTGAGAGTCTCTGTGACAAAATCTGGTTTCGTTTCTTCCCAGTTTATGGCTGTGGAAGAGCTGGCCTCTGCTTACATTTTCACTCTTCTCTCTGCTTCCATCACCATGTGCTGCCACACTGGCCTTCTCCCAGCTCCTCTTTTCTGCTCCAGGGCCTTTGCACACACTGTTCTCTCTACTTGTTATGCTCCCCCTGCTCCAGCTGAGCTAAGCTAACACCTATTTATACTTTGGGTGTCACTTCAATGTTACTTTATCAGCGAAGCCTTCTCTGATGTCTTTTTGTTGTTGTTGTTGTTATGTGCCATCAAGTCGGCCCCGACTCATAGCGACCCCTCCTTGGGTTTCCGAGGCAGTATCACTATGGACCAACCTTCCTTCCGAGGAGTGGCTGGTGGGTTTGAACCGCCAGCCTTCTGGTTAGCAGTCAAGTGCCTTAGGCACTATGCTACCAGAGCTCCCCCTGATGTCTTTAGCATCCTGAATTTCTCCTCTCTAACAGCACAGTTATAGTTACGTATCTGTTTATTAGATGGTTAATTATTGTTGGCATCCCCTCGTCTTGCCTAAAAACTCTATAAAGGCATTCTTGCTTGCATTGGTATCCCTAGTCCCTAGGACAGTGCCTGGCATACTAATCAGGAGGTCATTAAATATCTGTTGAAAGAAGAAATGACTGAATGAGTAAACTTTGTCTTCCCAATCTCCCTTCCACTTAGTCCCTTTCCTCATCCCAGGAGGAGCCCTTGCCCTGGGCTCCATCTGCTTCTCCCTAGATTACCTTTGCAAAAGCCTCCCGACACCAGTGCTACACCTCCTTCAATCCAACTCTACACACAGCCTGAATAATCCTTATAACGTGAAAACCTTAACATGTCTCTCCCTCCTGGATCCCTGCAGTCCAAAGGATAAAGTCCAACTCCTTAGCATGGCTTCTGAAGCCCTCAGGGACTGGATATCTGTTTTCCTTGCCAACCCTGTCTCTCACCCTTCTTGATTATCCCACCCCATCATATGACAGCCTCTCTGACCATGGCAAGCTATGAGCAGTTCTTCAGATTTGCTACTCCGGCTTATAGCTTTTTCTTTATTAACACTATTCTCACTGCCTGGGCATCTTTCTCCACCTTCTTCAGCTGCTCATGTGTTGCCTCCTCTTGGAAGCCCAACTCCTCTGTGCACCCAGAAGTTCCTGTCCCTTAACAGTACCACAGCATCAGCCAGTGTTTGCTCCCTCCTGGCCTCTAAGCATCTTGAGGGCCGTTTTTCATCTCTGAAGTGCCAAACCTGGTAGATAGCTGATATTGAATGAATGAATGACTTGTCTTATTCCTTGCCTCCTGGCCCCCCACCCATGGACTCAGCCAGAGAATCCTCCTTCTGGTTAAGATTCCCTGTGCCCTCCCCTATCCTGAGCACTCACGATGGTCACTGTTGCTGCTTCCCTTCTTATCTCCAGAGGCCCCTGGGGGCCCTCTCGGGGTCCACTGGCCAACCAGCTGCTCCACCATGGCCCGGTGAGTGAACAGCATGCTTTGCAGGAGCTGAGGAGTGAGGAGACATTGTTGTAGGTGTGGGACAAGCTCTCTCTGGCATATATTTCCCCAGAATACACTGGTACAATTGACCAATTGTCAAAGCAATGGAATGAATACTTCTACGTAAGTTGTTAAATAACGACTATCTAAGTCGGCCTACAGTCTTGGATGTCCTGGACCCTCCCCTAGGACCCCTACCCTTTCCCTAATATCCACCACTGAAGAAATGATGCCCACACAGAAGGTGTTGTCCTTTCTCCCAGGGGGGTGCTGTATCATGCAGATTGTTAAATATTTTGAATATCACCCCTGCCCCTGGGCACTCAGGGACTTGGATGCAGAGGGGGCAGAACATTGGAGGGAGGTGATGGATCCTTGAGGCGGAGAGGGGGACTGTGGCCTCCTGGGTAGGGGGGGCGAGGCCTGGTGGAACCCTGGGGACAGGCAGACTTCATGCCTACCTCGCTCTGCACACCCATGGGCACCAGAGCTGGGCGACACAAGGTAGGGGCTCCCAGCAGCAAGTGGGGTGATGGTGGTGCTTGCATCTCCCATAGAGGGTAGTTGACTATGATGAGCTTGCTGAAGTTGAACTTGTAAGTGAACCTCTTGCCTTTGGTCTTGTGCAGGATCCTCTTATTGTAGTAGTATCTGGAGAATCCAAGGTTGAGAATACAGATTTGGCCCACTGGGCAGGGGTTAGTCAGAGACCCAGAAAACCCCACTGCCCCAGTCCAGCAAGGCTGACCCCAAGCTGTTCTTGGAGAGCCAGGCATGTTACCACAGCCATGGGCATTTTCCCAAGCATTGGAGCGGCTGGGACTGGAGATGTGGACAGAAACCACAACCCCTTTCTTTGGACTCTGCCCTCTCTGGGCATGTGGACTACCTTCTCTCACCTGAGGGCCCGGCTCAGCTTGTCATAATTCATCTGTGGTTTGCATTTCCTACGGCCCCAGAGGCGGGCCACCTCGTCTGGGTCCTTGATGACAAACTCCCCGTATTCTCCCTGCTGCCAGGCAATGACATGGCGGAACTCCTCCTTCTGTAGCAGCTCTAGGATGAAGTGCCACAGCTGGATCTGCCGGGAGCCTGGGGACGACTCAGCTTTGTAGGCCCAGTCGGGGAAGGCCAAGCCTGGGGTGGAGAGGGTAGCATGAGGTGCCAGGCCAGTGGTCTGAGGCCCCACCTCTGGGCCGCCTGCCAGTCTACCCAATAGATTATGGAGGAGACCTGCCAAAGGGCTCACCTGAGATCCAGTAGTTGCTAGGGATGGCAGGGGTGCTCTCAGCCAAGCAGCTGCAGTGCATGGTCCACTCTGGGGCAGAGAGGGCTGTCTGGGCCTTTGGACAAAATGGTAGCTACTTAAGAGAAAGAGAGAGAAAGGAGGTAGAAGAGGGAAGGATAAAAGAAGGAGGAAGGAAGGGGAAGGCAGAAAGAAGGTCAGGAAAGAAAGACAGGAGAAGGAAGGGATGAGTCAAGGGGAGAAAAGGCAGGAGAGAGAAGTCTGTGTCAGGAAGCTTCCCTGTGCCCAGGGCAGGGCCCAGCCTCTCTTGGGGCCTCCTCCCTGGCCAAGGGCTGATCCAAGACTTGAGCCTTGGAGCTGAGCAACTTATATACATGGAGAATAATGCAAAGGGTCCTGTATCCTACCCCCGCTGAGAGATTTAGACAGAGAATGAGATCTCTTCTCAGGGTTTAGTGGGATTGGAGTTTTTCCAGGGAGAAGACAACAGAAAATGTGATTAATCGTTGGCTCTTTTCAAGCCTTGAGTGGAAAGGAGGTGGCAGATACAGGCAGTCTCTGGGTTATGAATGAGATCTGTTTCTGTATCTTTTTAGAAGTTGTAGGTAAGTTGGAACAGGTACAGAGGGTTCTGATTTAGCCTTATTTTAGTGCAAGAAATGCTTGAAGCTTTTTCAGTGATTTAAAAGGTGCATGTACAGCAAGTGAAGGCAAATTTGGGAAGATAGTAATAAATTACAGGGTAACTTCAAAGAAAATTAATAAACTTTCTCAACAAAATAAAGAATATCATAAAGATGCAGTAAATACTAAAACATCAGCTATGAAGGAAATTATAAGAAAATCTGTAAACAAAATGAACTCGGCACAGAAAAATATATGGAACAAAGAAACCATCAGCACTATGAGGAAAAAAACAACAAATGACAGCAGTAAATTCATACCTATTGATAATTACACTGAATTTAAATGGATTACATCCACCAATTAAGAAACCATAGAGTAGCAGAATGGATAAGAAAACATGACTCATCAATATTCTGTCTAGAAGAGAAACATCTGAGATACAAAGACAAAAATAAGCTAAAAATCAAAGGATGGAAAAACGTATCAGGCAAATGGCAACCAAAAAAAAAAAAAAAAAAAGCAGCAGTGGCAGTATTAATTTCAGATAAGATAGACTTTAAGGCAAAAACCAGCAAAGGAGACCAGGACAATATATGATTAAAGGGTCAAGCCAACAAGAGGACATAACCATAATAAATATTTACGCACCCAATGAAAAAGCCTCAGAATACATAAATCAAACTTTAACAGAATTGAAAAGAGAAATAGACAACTCTACAAAGTGAAAGCAAGTTTAGATAACATTAATGAGCAAGTAGGCGTTATCCCCAAGTCACAGTAAGCCAGAGTTCATAATCCAGGGACTGCCTGTACTCACGGAGCTCTGGTGGTGCTGTGGTTAAAGCACTGGGCTGCAAACCAGAATATTGGTGGTTCAAACCCACCAGCTGCTCCATAGGACAAAGGTGAGACAGTTTGCTTCCATAAAGATTTACAGCCTTGGAAACCCTATGGGACAGTTCTGCTCTGTCCTGTGGGGTCTCTAGGAGTTGGAATCAACTCAGGAATCAATGGGGTTTTTTGGGGGACCTGTACACATACCTTTATAGTATTTAGAACTTTTTATACTTAAGAAGATCAAGGATTCCCCACCACCACCACCACTGGGTCCCTGAGTGCCTAGAAGAGTGCCTGGTATATTTAAAACAAAATAAAAAATAAAAATAAATCAAACCACACCGGTTGCTATTGAGTGGACTCCAATTTGTGGCGATTCTGTGTGTGTCAGAGTAGAACTGTGTTCCATAGGGCTTTTGGTGGTTTATTTTTCTGAAGTAATCACTAGGCCTTTCTTCGGAGGTGCCTCTGGGTGGACTTGAACCCCTAACCTTCTGGTTAGCAGCCAAGAGCATTAACTGTTTGTACCACCCAGGGATTCCGCCTGGCACATACGGTTGTTGAGAGAATAAATGAATGGTGTTATTTGTTTTAACATCTGTCTACTCTCTTGGAGTGTCAGCTCCATGGGTCAGGAACTACTGGGACTTGTACTCACAGGTGCTCGGTAGGTATTTGTTTAATTAATGAGCTATAGACAAGCAAGAGAGAATCTTAATGGTTCCCAGTTTGGGGATAGGAGGGATCTGCAGAATGAACGCCAGTGAAATAGACTTGCTTGATGTAGGCAAAGGGAGGAGAGAAAACATTTAAACCCCACAGCCTTTCTGAGGAAGGTGCAAAAGGCTGGTTTCCACTTTTGGTAATGGCAGATGAAACAGTATGCAAGAGGACTGAGGAGGGATGGGAAAGGCTGCATGGGGACTCTGGCATACCTCTGTGCCTACCTCTGGGGCTGGGACAGACCTAGGATTTTCCTATTTGAGATAGCATGTGAAAAGGGGAATAACTTAGATGACTTCTGCCTCTGGGTTTCCATCTCTGATGAGGGGAATACTGTTCTCAATTAGAATGTATTAGGCCATTAGATTTGGAGGGCATGTCTGAAGGAACTTTCATACTTTACTGATGAAGCACAGAGAGGGAAAGTGGCTTGACCAAACACAGTGAGTTAGCCACAAAGTCCAGAGCCATACTTTCTGACTCTTAATCCAAAGCACTTTGTCAAAAAGAGTTAAGACTTTTTAAACACAATTTAACTCCAATGTGTATAAGGACCACCTGAGGCTCTCTTTCAAATGCACATTATGTTTCAGTAGCACTTGGTGGAACTTGGGATTCTGTGCTGCTAAGGTGCTCTTTCTTAGGAGCTCTGGTGGCTCAGTGATTAAGGCATTAGACTGTACAACCAAAAGGTCGGCAGTTTGAACCCACCAGACACTCCATGGGAGAAAGATGAGGCAGTCTGCTTCTGTAAAGATTAATAGCCTTGGAAACCCTTGGGGGAAGTTCTACTTTGTCCTTTTAAAACCCACTCAGTAACAGTGGGTTTAATGAGCTCTCAGGTAATATTGATGCTTGCTCTACGCAGGGTGCCACAAACCTTCAACTTGTAAAAAACAAACAAACAAAAACCACACAGTATCTGCAAAGCAATACTAAATCAAAGCGAAATAAAATGAGATATGCCTGTAGTGGCAAGCAAGCAATTATTATTGTCATCACCATGGAACATACTATGACTAGTGAGGACCCATGAAATACAGTAAAAAGAAGGTATGTTGTTGTCGTTATGTGCCGTCAAGTCAGACCCGACTCATAGCGACCCCTCCTTGGGTTTCCGAGGCAGTATCACTACGGAAATAGATTGCCCAACCTTCCTTCTGAGGAGTGGCTGATGGGTTTGAACCGCCAGCCTTCTGGTTAGCAGTCATGTGCCTTAGGCACTACGCTACCAGAACTCCTAAAAGCAGGATATAGATGTTGTAAAAGAAAGTCAAGGAATCCCAGACCCTCAGGCTGGAAGACCGTCCCCATTCTCCCTACCTCAGGTCGTCTTGTCCTTTGCTCTCTCTTTCCCAGGTAATGCTCAGGGCCAGGGAGGTCAAATGACAAAGTGACTTCCATAGGCAGGAGCTTTGAGGAGTACCCAGTTTAGCCTGAGTTGTGAGCATCTCTGGAAATAGGTAAGTGGGGGGTGGTGGGTGAGTTGGTCCATGTCCACTGAGTCTGGATGAATAGGTTATCCCACCCATCCCTCTGTCTCTAACCTTAGAGCTGACATTGTGGAATTCTCTTCTCTTCTTTACTCCCCAGAAGCAGGTGACTCTCCCATCCTGCTCTCCTGCTCTGTCCATTGCGAAGTTCCTCCTATATCTACCTTCAAGTGGATTGGGTTCTCTAATATCTAGTCTTAGAAAAGTGGGTTGGGAGATAGAGTGTGCAGAGCTGAGAGATTCCAGAGATGAAGATTGTTTCCTGGAGGAAGCTGATAGAATTCCTATGACTTGCCCTGGTGCCTGCTGGATCTGATGGTGTTTCCTAGTATGAAAGATATGAGTCTCAGGGTAGACTTAGGATCTGGAAAGAAGAGAATGATAATATCCATCACTTGCTCAGTGTGTCACACACTGTGCTTAAAAATGGACATACACTGAAACCTCACACAAAGTAGGTGTGGAGGAGGAGATGGAGACTCAGAGAGGTTGTGTAACCTCTCAAAGGTCACACAGCTCTAAAGTGAAAGAGTGGAAAGGAAGACTTTAACTCAAGATTTATCATTTTTAGCCAGTTGTAGGCTGCCAGCCTTCTCCTGTCACTCCAAAAAAGAAACCTCCAAACCTAATTTGCACCAGTAGATGAACCCAAGCCTCCCAATTTCCTGAATGTTACAGCCTGCCTCTCAGCCTCTCCCATTTGTGAAGATATCTCCCAGACCTTCGAGGAGTTTGCCAGTTTGGATGTGGAAACCGTCACTGCTGACAAGTCTTGTCAAATGTCTCCTTCAAATCCTCTCTTTCCTCCTAAAGTCCCTGAGCTGAATCTGTGGAACCCCCAGAGAGGAGATTCAGGTCTACCTTCATGTCCAAGAACTGTTCCTGGGGCCTAACCTTAATTCTTGGGCTTCATTTTAATTTGCACCCTGGAGGTGACACTCTCAGGGCTGGGGGATGTCCTCCCACTCTGCTCCCACCACTTTACCCCCCAGCTCCTTCCCTCTTACACTGTGACCTATAGCCCAAGCTTTAACAGGCTCTGTTCAGCCCCTACAGCTACAATGATGGGATCCATGCAGTGGCTTTAGAGCAGGATGAGTATAGAGAAGCATAAATCAAAAAGGATAATAACTCAATCTTGAATTATCAGAGTGGCTTCTCTTAAGCACTTTGAATTTCTTGAAGGAAAGAAGGGTTATACAGGCATACCTAAGAGATATTGTGGGTTTGGTTCCAGACCACTGCAACAAAAGCAAATATAGTGGTAAAGTGAGTCACACACATTTTTGGTTTTCCAGTGCATATAAAAGTCATGTTTATACTATATTGTAGTCTATTAAGTGTGCAGTACCAAAAAAGAAAACGAAACTCACTGTCATCAAGT